AACGGCTTCTCCTGGGAGCGCTATGCAATCTGCATCGAATTCGCCTTCAGCAACTTTGTATGTTTGTTGTTTGTTATAATACTTCCAAAGTTAGACATAATCCCATGGTGCACTCATGATTAGCTATTTGTTTGCATGCAGGTTGTTGTCCCCGTTGGCAAAGATAGAAGTCGAGAAGTTGACAGCCTCTGAAATTGATGCCCTCAAGGATGGTGATGGAACTTTGGCCAATACTGATGAGGTCGAGTCTTTACCGCCCGATGCTCAAAAGAGGCCTGCTGCAAAGCGTGCTTTGTTCAAGAAATGATGTAAGAGACCACCTGTTTGATTCTCCTCTGGGTTTTAATACAAGTTCAGAAACAATGCAGCCCTTTTGAAGTGCCAGGAAGCCAAGAATTTGATAATTTTGAAGTATTCCATTTTACTAAATCATCCACGCTTAATTTGAGTTTTGTGTTCCTTTTGCTTTATGTTGTAGGTGTTGGAGGTCTGTGCTGGAGGTCTTTTGTGTTCCACAGGTCAGTGTTGTGTGTGTGTTGTGGAACGCCTTGGTGCCTTTTACCCAGAAGCTATGGGGTCGGTTAAGGGTTCTTTTGTTCGCCAAGACATGTTTTCTCTAAGGAAGGCTGGTGTAGATGATCATGTGCACCTCTAGCAAGTATCAATGTCTGATGCTAAACGATGATGCTCTACCTAAAATTGTTGTAATCCCATGGCATGTAGGGTATCTTTTTTGACAAAAACAAGGAATTGTCATGAAAGTTTCGGATAAGTAATGTTCCCTGATTGTTTATGTTCAAGTGGATCTTCCTATGTAATTGAAATGCTCTTCTGTGCTATCGTTGATCATGTGTTCGTATGATAGGGGTATCAGATTATTGATTTTGAAATCACGGTGTTGGTATGCTTTCGCACATAATGCTCCATGTCTATCGGTTGCTTACATATTAAGTTTTTGTTGACGAAAACCGTTATTGAATTATCGTTGTAGATTAAAATCCATGCTTGCCATTCAGTTAGCTTTTTCCCTTAGATTACCCAAAAAAATCCTCGGCCTCACTGTTGTGCTGTTAATGGTTAAATACCACAAGAATGCTTAAATGTTTAGTAGAAAAGTTATTTGTGATTTGGCCCACGTAGGTTTTTATTCCAAAACATCCACTGCCAGATGCCACTGCTCACATTAAATGAAGGTGTCAGTAGAATGATTGCATTCTTGCTCATTGCAACTATAACCTGTGTGGTGGAAGATGATGGACTGACCCTCAAGGGCTTTGCATTAATTGCAGCCGTCTTTTACATAGTAAACTGTCAAGTATCTATTATTTAAAAATTAAAGTGCTAATGTGTGCCTAATATCACGTTCTGTTTACCTCTCTTCTTCATCACCACTATAGCACAAGACATCCTCTCTCAATCTCATTGTCATTCGCTGCTTCTGCTATAAGTTAATAAAATGGGACCTTAAACTTCATCTTTTGTTTCAATTCTGATCTCCATCGCCTTTCCATAATCATTCATGCCAGACTGACCTAGATGCTTCACTTACACGCATGCTCTTCTCATTAGTTTCCAAAAGTTACAGTCATATGTAGACCAGGTTTGCTTGCTGAACTCATTAGTTAGCCTCATTATTGGGTTTGTTGTGAATGTCCATGCCATTAATGCCTTTGTTTTTTTTTCAGTTGGAGAAACATTCAAGCAGTAAATGCTCCCCTAACTCTCTAAAAGGGTTTCATGTGTCTTTAGTAGGGATGACTCGACGCAAAAGGAAGGGACAATACCACTTGCTCAGATCAAAGAGATCAAGAAACATTGTTCCAGATGAATCTCTGCACGAACCAACCTCACCTTATACACAAGCAAACGAAAAGGATGCATTCACACAATCAAGCACATATTCTGTATCTACTTATAGTGGTGTTCCTGACTTTCCTCCGGAATCTCGCTCAGGTGAAGACAGTAATCATCCTCAATCTGTGGTCCCAGTTGTGCAGACAAAACACATTCCTACTGCTCGAGTGCCATTACATGATGACATCTTGGAAATAGGCAAGCCAAAATGCGTTTGCAAGTTTTGTGGTGCTATGTTTTGGTATTTGGAACGGCTAGATAGACGGCGATCAACAACCAATCCGTTGTACACTCTATGCTGCCAGAAAGGCCGAGTTACTTTGCCATTTCTTAGAGAACCTCCGCCTTTATTGACTGAACTTCTGCAAATTGATGGGGGGCCTATGTCTAAACATTTTAGAGATAACATTCGACCATACAACGGTTCGCTTTGCTTCACTTCGTTTGGTGCTACAATTGATCCACGGAGTGTGGCAAGTAGAGGACCATATTCAATGGTTATATGTGGAGAAAATTACCACAGAATTGGGTCGCTCATGCCGCCAGAGGGACAACGTCCCAAATTTGCTCAGGTTTATATATTTGAACCTGAAAAATGAGATTGACAACCGTTTGTCAAACTTTGCTTCACGTGACACAAAGCTTATGCCAGAGTTGCTCACTTTGTTGTTACAGATGTTAGATGAGCACAATGATTTGGTGAGGACTTTCAGGCGGGTTCGTGACCAATTGCAAGAGGTGGATGCTCCGAATTTGAAACTTCGGATCATTGGAGCAAAAAGTAGAAATAGACAATATGATTTGCCCCAAGCCTCTGAGATTGTAGCACTTATACCTGGTGATTTCATTCCCGATAGAGATGACAGGGATATCATAGTTGATAATGTCTATGACGGTCTTAAGCGCATTACAAGTCTTAATCCAAAATTTGATGCTCTTCATTTCCCTTTATTGTTTCCATATGGAGAAGATGGTTATCACCCGCTTATTAAATATAGACCAGCTTGCTGCCCTCCTTCTATGCGTAGGCAATTTGTCACCCAACGTGAATATTATGCTTTCAGGCTACAATACCGTCAGAATGAAGGCCAAACACTGGTCAAAGTTGGAAAGGCACTTCAGCATTATTGCATTGATGCTTACTCTTCGGTGGAGCTTAACCGGCTGGCTTTTCTGCGTTGTCATCAACCAGAGCTTCGAGCAGAAGTTTATCAAGGATTACAAGATGCTATGGCACGTGGTGATCTTGACGGTGATAAAGTTGGCCATGTTGTTCTACCAGGAACTTACATCGCCAGCCCAAGATATATGCAACAGTTGTATCACGATGCAATGGCAGTTGTGGAGTTCCTCGGCAGTCCAGATCTGTTTATAACATTTACGTGCAATTCACTGTGGGCAGAAATTGCAGAGGCATTTGATCACATTGTTGGGTCCAGCGGCTCGAATAAACCCATGGTTGTTTCAAGAGTCTTCCATATTAAACTCATGATATTGATTGATGATATCAAGAAGAATTCCTACTTTGGAAAGACAGTTGAAAGTGAGTGTTCTCTTCCATACTATTCTTTAGTTTTCTACAATAACTGATGTCTTTGGTTTTGGGTCATGCAACGTTTCACGTCTGCTCTTATATCGTTCATTCATTCGTTTTGACAGTTACTCTAATGTTATTCGTTTGTTTCATTATCTATCAGTAATGTATACAGTTGAGTTCCAAAAGCGAGGGCTCCCACACATTCACTTATTAGTTTGGTTGGCTGAACAAGACAAACTCAGGACAACAACAGACATAGATCAGGTCATCTCAGCAAAAATTCCAGACCCTGATGTTGATCTGCTGGGTTATGAAGCTGATTGCAAATTCATGATACATGGGCCATGTGGAGAATCAAATAACAATGCACCATGTATGCGAGAAAAAAAAACGTCCTACCAATGGTAAGTGTTCAAAGCACTTCCCAAAAGAATTCAACTCAGCAACTGCTTTCGATAAACACGGAAATGTTGTCTACAAAAGAACAGATTCTGGAATTCAGATTAAAAAAGGCACTGTTCTGTTGGATAATCGACATGTTGTTCCGTACAATAGGAATTTGTTGGTACGCATGCAAGCTCACATCAATGTCGAAATATGTCACAAAGGAAAATTGATCAAGTATCTTTTTAAGTATGTTACCAAAGGACCAGATAGATCGCTGGTCATTGCTGAGAACGATACAAATACTGGTAACAATCCTTCTGTGCGGCATGGTGGGAACAGAGATGAAATCCAAGAGTTCATAGATTGCAGATCGTTGTCATCTTATGAGGCTATATGGAGGCTTAACGAATATCTCATTCATGTTAGAGAACCAGAAGTAGTTCGGTTGGGGGTTCATTTGGATGGTCAGCAAAAGGTTCCCTATACAAAACAATCAAGTATCAGAAATGTTTTGGCAAATTCCAATGCTGGGAAAACATATTTGACAGAATGGTTTGCACTGAACCGCAGGGACCTAGAGGCAAGATTGCTCACCTATTCACAAATACCTAACAAATACACATGGCTCTCCGATTGTAAGGAGTGGAGTCCACGCAAGAAAGGCTTCACAATTGGGAGGATTGCCTATGTTCCTCCAGGATCTGGTGACGTTTTTTTCTTGAGGATCATATTGACAAAGGTTCGTGGAGCATTGAGCTACACTCATTTGAGAACTGTTGGAGGCGAGGTCTGCCCGGACTTTGAGAAAGCTTGCCAGAAATTGGGACTCCTATCTAGCTCTTCAGAATGGATAAAAGTCTTGGATGACATTTCTACCTCGAGTATGCCAAGGGTTATTCGGAACACCTTCGTTTCGATGTTGATGTTCTGCGAAATTCCTTGCCCACTGGCATTATTTACATCTGCTTGACGATCAATGGCCGAAGATTATGCATATAATTCAGCCAATAACTCAAGAACCAACGGCCACGAACCAACTGACGAGAGACTGCAGAATTGGGTGCTACACCAATTACAAAAACTTCTAAGCTCACATTCATCTAATCTCCAAGATTTCAATCTTCCTCTTCCCACTGATATTGTGCCAGATGATGGAACAAATCCATTGGTTAATGATCATCTGACATTTGACACAGTAGAACAACAACAGTTGACAGCCTCTATGCTGCATTCTCTCAACGACAAACAACTCCATGTTTACACAGCAGGTATCAACTCAGTGCACAACAATATCGGAACTCCATTTTTCTTATATGGTCATGGTGGTACGGGAAATACATATGTGTATAACGCAATTATAGCAAGGCTGAGAAGTCAGGGCAAAATTTTTATTTTGGTTGCCTCATCTGGAATCGCAGCAACATTGCTACCTAATGCAACCACAACACATTCCAGGTTCAAAATTCCACTAATCTTGGATGCAACATCAACATGCCCAATTAAACATGGAACATACTTAGCTGAGCTTGTGGCACTCGCTTCTCTCATAATATGGGATGAAGCACCCATGACGCACCGAAATGCTTTTGAGGCAGTAGAACGTACTTTATGCGACATTATGGGTGTTCCATTGAATGGACCGCGGTATAAGCCATTTGGTGGCAAAACCATTCTTTTTGGTGGAGATTTTCGACAAACACTCCCGGTCATAACTGAGGCTGGGCGTGAGCAAACAGTCGATGGGTATCTAAGAAGATCATCTCTATGGAGTTCTTTTGCACTCATGCATCTATCTGCAAACATGAGAATAGCAGGTTCTTTGCCTAATGAAAGGCAGCAGCTACATGGTTACACATTTTCGGAATGGGTCTTGGCTTTGGGAAATGGCCAGCTTAAAACAGAGGCCTTCAAGGAAGATTCTCCAGCTGATTGGATACAAATACCTGAGTTGTTTCTTATACAACATGAGGGAAATCACATTGAAGCAATTGCAGAGAATATATATGAATCATTTGACACCAACTATAGGCACCCAGCATATCTAAAAAATAGGGCAATAGTTGCACCAAGGAATGCAACCGTGTCTCAGATTAATGATTATATGATGCAAAGGGTTCCTGGTGATTCAAAGACGTATTATAGTTCTGATTCATTGCTGCAATCCACAGACACATCATCTACATTTGATGAATGCTACCCAACTGAGTTTCTCAACACACTTACATTCAATGGAGTGCCAAACCATGAAGTTACATTGAAGAAAAACACTCCAGTCATGCTGCTGCGAAACTTGAACCCAGCTTTGGGTCTTTGCAACGGTACAAGGATTATGATCACTGTGTTGGGTGACAATTTCATAAAGGGCAACATCATGGGAGGTTCTTATGACACCGACGAAGTCATAATTCCAAGAATTGTTCTCAATGTAGAAAACTCAAAGTGGCCGTTTATACTCAAAAGGCGTCAGTTCCCAGTTCGCACATGTTATGCAATGACAATAAATAAGAGCCAAGGACAGACGCTTGGCAAAGTCGGAATCTATTTGCCAGAACTAGTATTTAGCCATGGACAGCTATACGTGGGAGTTTCAAGGGTACGATCAGCAACAGGTTTGCGAATGCTAATAGAGAATCCAGCAGAAATTCCAAACAACTATACAAGAAACATTGTGTTTGCAGAGGCATTCAGTGATATCCTCACTGGCTAATAGGTCGGGGTGGGTTGTGCACCTGCTATACATTGCATGAAGGTAATTCTCAAAACTAAAAATGATTGTGTTTATCTAACCTACTATCAAAACTACAACCGTATTAGCTAACATTTCTTGCCCTTTTCAAAGATCTGTCTACTACGATTGGCGCACTACAGCTTCGAACTGATTTGGGTGTGTCTTCTTGGTCTGGATTAGAAGCCTAGAAGTTTAAACACATTAGTAAACCCTATTGTGATTCAAAACTTCCACAGTATGGCAATCTTTATGTGCCGTTGCTTTTGATGTTAAATACAGTTCGTCAACTTCATTTCAGTTTGTTGTAAAAAAAAACAGTTTACAAATATTTGTGCTTCGTGTTTCAGACAAGCCAGACGCTTAAAACCATTGTAGCTTTGATGTTTTGGCCCTATTTCCATAGGCCTGAATTACTATGGACCAAACGTCTTCGGGCCTGGTCTACTTCTTAAATTGACGTCTCTTTCTGCATTTTGATGATAATCAAGTGCATTTGAGCCCAGCCCAAATGGTGCTTTAGGGCTACAGATAAAGGCCCACTGTAAACCCGCCCAATATGAGCACTCTAATCGAACCTCCCCTTTAAACCCTACCATCCCTCACCAACCACAGCAGCTGTCCACATCTTCATCAACCCTTCTCCGCCGCGTAAGCCCCACCACAGAAACTACCAGAATTTTTTTGAAACCAAGGTAAATCCACGTCTCCCTCTTCTTCACCGCCTTTACATCTGGGAAATTACTACTCATCGGTACTTCTGTTGCTTGGCCAGAGACCCCACCTAACATGGACAGTTTACCCGGAAAAAACAAGTCAACAGAGGGCGGTCACATGGTCCCCACCGATAACCAAGGTACATGCCTTCCATTTCTGTTAAAAAATCCTCCCAAGAATCTCGATTCCTCTGCAAAACAGATAAAATACCCATTTTGTTTCCCTTTATTGTCTTACAGACCCGATTGAAACTTGCATGCCATTTCGGGGATTGCGTTTGGGCACCAAAGTTCGCACATTTATTGCTGGACCTGTGATTACATGGCTCGAATTCCGAGAGGCACCCAAACTTAAAGATCTCAGCATGCACATGATTTGGATAGATAAAAAGGTTTGTTACAATCCAATTACAAAATTGCACAGTCCTTTCATTAATGACTTTCAACAAATGCATTGTACAGTTTGAACTCGCTCAAGTGTTGTTCTTATAGGCACGATTGATCGAGTCAATGGTTGATGAAAAAGACATCACCGAGATATCTCGCAAAATAAAAGTCGGGAACCTTTATCAATTTGATTCGGTTCTGGCTGTACCAGCGAGGGAAAATCCGAGGATTGTTCCGGGAGAGTTAAGGTTGCACATAAATCCCGAACAAAACATTTCCAGGGTTGAAGAGGACCCAGATGACCCGCGCTTCCCTATTGGCTGGGACATTGGGATGGCTTTTTCGATGGTGCCTCTTCAGACAAACACCATTGACTACCATACAGGTACATTTGACTATCTCTGTTTACCATACTAAGATGAATCTAAACTTTAAAATGACAAACTTTTTTGTTAACGACAGACATCACTGTATGCATTAGGCGTCTAAGTGTTCCCACAACAATTCGTGGTATTCTCAAAGAATTTCACATGGTTGTACAGGATGTGAGGTACATTTTCTAAAATAGTGTGTTCATTTGTGAATTCTATGGATCCACAAATTTAATATTTGTCCACGTAAACAGCGGCGCTAAGGCAACTGTTCATTATCGAGGATGTGATATCTTGAAGTTCTTAGAAAATGCGCCTGCAGCTGAAGCTCACTTGCCTCTCATTGTTACAATCAAATCTATCATTCGAGTGCCACCTCTATCCAACCAGAAATACAAGTACCATTTTGAATTCACTCCTGCTAGTGATCTGATAATACAATCCTACACACACTCGGTCAAGGAAATTATGCACATATACACTTCTCTATGCACATATACTGTTCATTTCTCAATTAATTTGTATTGCCAATCAATTGAAACAAAACTAACGCTTTTTTGTTTTTTTGCTACAATCCAGCTTCCTTCATAGTCGCAAACAAGTTTGCTACACGGATGCCAACACCGGTGTGAAAACAGGCTGCCTTCGACCATGAATTCAAAAGAAAACACTCACTGACATCAAAGCTTTGCTTGGATCTGATAAGAGCTACCACCAGTTTCGTTAAGAACTAAATATATCTGACTTGCCAACATCTTGCACTTAAATTTTACATACACACATATCTAATCATCAATTTCCATTCGTATTAGATACTTTACCGTGCCAAGTTTTATATATCACAATTGAAGTTTCGAAGAGGCATTTGCCGAACAACTGAGCAATGGCCAGAGTAAGTTTTTGTTTCAGTGCGAACACTTCTTCTTATGCTTATTAATATATCAACAAATAAGCTAACAAAAAATCCCATTTATATCTATAACTAGCTTGCACTATCAGCTGGAAGTCAAATGTCAACATGGATCTGATGATATTGATGTCATACTGGACCATGAGGCAACTCTCTCAATAATTGGCATGTCACCCAGCAAGTACAACAAACTCAAAGCAGAATCTGCCAAAGCATTGCTGATCAGAAAGTGTACCAGGATGTTTGCAGGAGAGCTATACATCGGTTGCACAGATTTAGAAAACAAAACTTCACCAGTCGAACCACACATAAGAGTTTCAACACTTTGGCATACCTCAAGAATGGACAAGTGATCGTCTACATCGATGACAGAAAGACTTGCTGATTGATAGGGCAAAAGCGTAATGCTTCAATTCCTATCTTGTAGTAATCCGGAAAGTCCGGGTATCGTCTCTCAGGGACTGGTACAACCTTAAGTTCTATCAAATTTATTGAGCAAACTATAGGTGAAAATGGTTTAATGAGATTATTAACTACTAGCAAAATAAATAAACTATTTAAGCAAAGTAAAATGGTCGGGAGAAATTCAATGGAGAAAGCTCTGGGAGAAACACCGGGATTCACTACCTATCCTATCCAGATTAATTCACATATTCTAATCAATTTAATCCATATCTCTACAGCCAGGATATCACTACTGTGCTAGCTATCCTTGTCGGGAATTACTACGTACTAAATAATCAATTCAAATCCTACTGTCGTAGCTCAATGAGTTAATTATTTAGCTTGAAGAACGATATCCTATTTAAGACCGCATAGCACCTTATTTAATCCACTGTCGCTTCGATAAGTTACCATGTCACATGAAATAGGTTCAGTTATTAGGGTTTCACTGTCGCTAATAACCTAATTAACTACGATTCATTGTATTGGTGGCCAGTCAACACAAAGCATTAAGCAATTTCATGCAATAGAGAATGGAAGAAAAGAATTTGGAATCAATCCATCAAATCAAGAACTAGCTACATCCTATGGTGTTTCCCCCAGAAATCGGGGTTTAGTTCATGACGAAAATAAAACACACAATCATGTTCATAATCATCATCTTATTAATCGAGGGATAAAAGTTTAGAAAGAATTCACTCCGGGATCGCTGATGATCGCAGGGTTGAACTACTTCTCCTTTCAGTTCGCTCTCTCCCGCGCTAACAAGCTGCTCGCCGTGCAGCTTTTTCCCCAGAATAATCGTTCCCCTTCTCCTTAATTCCGCCGCCAGCCCAAATCACTTCTGCTTTGCTAGGGAAGAAAAAGAATGGGCCTTTGGCCCATGGTCAACTTGCCTAGGGAGAACATCCTCCTGTCACCGGTCCAAGTTTAATCAAATAGTGGCCTTTCAAATTAGTCCACTCCCGGTTTGATTGTGCTCTTTCCCATCTGCATATGCTTCCATCCTCTTTTGCTTTTCCACCTAAAATATATCACAATGCTAACATATGGCGGTAATGGTCTTACAACCATTTCAGAGTCAGTTGGCATTAAAACGAGCAGTATATGTCTCAAACGTATCATGAAATAATCACATTAAGCACATGAAATCAATATGTTTTCGACAATTATCACAACCCCACACTCAATTGTTGCTTGTCCCTAAGCAACGACTCAAACAACACAAACACATAACCATCCAAAACAATGACACACCACAGACTCAACACTCAAAGCAAAACACAAAATTTCCTTGTACTCTTGTTGTAATCAGTAGTTTTTTTTCTCAAAGGACAAGTTGTGCTATAATGATCATACCTTTCACCCCACACTCAAGTTCTTTGCAACCATTACCGTTGACTGACTCAAATCCATCCAAAAACTCAATTAGCAACACTCAATTTTGATCGTCGGTAGTGGGTGATTAACAACTTATGGTGCAACAGTTATTAGGAGAATCTAACCACATCAGTGAGGTGCATATCTCGTGAGGACAATCTGGCTTACTCACACCAATCATAAGCAATTAATTAAGCATGAGTCTCAAAAACTAATGGGGGAAGCCTTTCGCAAACAAGATTTTAACTTTAAGCACACCACTACCTTTTATGACAAGGAGAGGCTTTCTCTCTTTCTGATTTTGCTTGCCGAGAGGTCGTATTTAGTACAAGTGGGATTTGTTTCTTACTACCGGTGACCGAGCAAGAGCAATTTCTGCTTCTTAGCACTCGCATAAGGGCTTCTTTCAACTCCTTTTCCTCGGTCCGTGTGGAGGGTCATTGCATCCTCAAATGGCACTTCACTCAACTGGGGATCGTACTTGATAAGCAACATCATACGGTCGCGAACCGATTCTCAATTGAATCTTTCCTCATCCCCATGTGCAATGAGTGATTGCCTCACACGATTTTGGCATTTTACCCACACTTTAATTATTATGGCAACTTTCTTATCTTTAACTTGTCAGGTAGTGTTTTCTCATTTTATAAAGATACAGTTCACCCCATCATAAAACATTCAAAACAGAGAGACTCAATGCAAAATCAAAAGCTCACAATTGATGCAAGTAAGCACGGTATCCAAACATGTCGAATGGTCAATGTTCTCCACCTA